GCAAATTTGTAAAATTTAGTTATAGATTAACAAGCCATGAACTGAACTACTAGTATATATAATCCATTAACTGAGTAGTGCCCCTCCAGGCAGACTTTTAAAGTAAGAAGAAAAAAAACTTGTGTGTCGTCACCATGTCTAGTCTGACTCATATAATGTTGGAATAAAAAAAAACCACAAGACCACCTTGCCACCTTATTAGTTTAAACTTGCTCCATAATTTCTGTTCTTGATACGAACTAACTGTTTTTCCCTGTTACCTTTCCCTGAAGGTCATTCCAAAGAGGTTGGCTATACGAAGTGGCGTGGAATCTACTACAAGGCATTCAAGACACACCAAAAGAGCTTCAGCGATGCAGCTGCGACCTGCCGTGAAGACGGCGGCACCCTCGCCATGCCCCGAGACTACGACACCGACTCTTTCCTCTTCTCACTGACGGTGCACCACACGACCACCGGCCAGTATTCTCACCCGTCCTGGTTTGGCCTGAAACGTCGATACAGTGGAAGCTCAGAATTCGTGTGGGTTGATGGCACTCCACTCGGGGGGTACACCGGATGGCGCCCCGACGAGCCGAATAACTGGGGCGGCAACGAAGACTGTGTCCATTACTTGGGTCATGGAGATGATCCGATGAAATGGAACGATATCGAGTGCGGTGGCAAGAAAGTTTTCATCTGCCAACGCCCATGATGCAGGTATTTTATGTGGTATTATGCCCAATTTTCCCCCAACAGGGCTCGCAAATCTGTGCTGCTGCAGATAACGTACATGGTACGCTACCTGCAGCAGACAAACTTTACCTGCACCACTCAGAATATTAAAAGCATGGATCATACACTATTAGTAAAAACTATCCAGAAACAAAAGTCATTATTTCTTTTATACTTCATAGGTGTTAATAGTAAATGTAACAAATATGCTTGCATGTATATAAACTTTTTAGTTTAAAAACTTGTGGAAGCACTCTGCTAATTTTGATGGCATCTATTTTTTACACAGATGCAAAATTTAATGCGGCTTGTCCAACTTTCACCGCTGAAGAGTCAACGCCGAATTCAATCAGACAACTTCAAAGACAGTAAATGCTAGCAATAGATGGTAATTTGTATTTAAGTTTTAACACTGACGTACATCTTACCTTGAAATGTTTTTGTCGCCTTTCGAAGAGGTCCTCTCTCCTTGGATAGCCAAAGATTGTAAAAGGAAAAGCTGCATTCAGAATTGACTTGCAATGTTGTATAGACTGTGTTGTATATCATTTTTGACTTATGAATACAGATGATACGTAGTGATATCAAGAAATATTTAATAGAGAAAATCAATGTCACATTTGAACATGTTTTCTTCTGTTTGGTTAGCCAAAGATTGCAAAAGGAAAAGCTGTATTCAAAAATGAAGTGTGTAGATGGTGTTGTATATCATTTTTGACTTAGATCATTTTTAAAATACAAATGATACGTAGTCATATCAAGAGATGTTTTATATAGAAAATCAATATGACCGTAAAGCATTTCAAACAGGTTTTTATCTGTTTGGATAGCCCAAGATAGTAAAAGGAAAAGCTGCATTCAAAAATAACTTTTACTGTTGTGTAGACTGTGTTGTATATCTTTTTTTACTTAGATTTTTTTTATTGAATACAGATGATGCGTAGAGATACCAAGAAATGTTTAATAGAGAAAATCAATTTCACATTTAAACATGTTTTGTTCTGTTTGGATAGCCAAAGATTGCAAAAGGAAAAGCTGCATTCAAAAATGACTTTTCAAGATGGTGTTTTACACTGTATATCATTTTTGACTAAGATTTTTTTATAGATTTTTTTAAATACTGACTTTTAGTAGTTTTCTTTAACGTAAGGCTAGAGCAAGTAAATTTTATGGGTGACATCCTCAGCAGACTCCAAATGTAATGCGATAGGGCGAAAAAAAGCAAGGCGGGCTAAAAAAACAAGATTCCTACATTTTCAATTTTTTTCCAATTCCAATTCTTTATTTCCATACCAACATTACAGACATGCAATATGGAATTATAATGTCAAGTTAAGAGACAGAGTACGTTTCGAAATCTCCCCAGCATAGCTGAACTTTCGTTGTGTGTTTAATATAAATATTTTGCTAAAAATTATAATGTTGCCTGAATTGCATTGGTATTGGCATTTTACATGATTATAAACCTTCTTAAGAAAGAAATTATACCTGATATTGTGGTAGCCTGGCCTGGAAGGCACCCGTGTTTTTCCGTAAACCCTGTTGTTACCTTTTCTTAATCCTCAGAAAATGTATGTGACTTGATGAAATAAAGATCTTGTTGACATACAGGCTTCGATGTACTATATACTGTATAACGTTATATGTACTAAAATACATCAATCCCTAGCTCTCCCGTGGGTATACTGTTGTGTCAAACAAAGCGTCTAGTAGTAAAGTATTGCGGCCACAACTGCAATACTTAATACATGGAACTGATGGTGAGTTCAGCACCAAGGAGAGGTCCACACTGGTAATGTCCATTAACAAATGGAGGGGGGCATTCACAAGTTTGGGGATATGAGAACTTGCTGTGGCAGAAGGTTTCCTGATCGTTGGGTTTGGCACAGAAAACAAGTCTAAAATTGGACGACGAGAATAATTACTTTTGATTGGTGGCGGAATGGTGATGATTAATTATCAAGAGCAATAATGATTAATCTCGCTCGCACCCCTATGCAATTATCCCACATGGTACGGTCCATTCGACCAGCTGCAGGCAGCAAGCTAGTGTGACCACGCTTTCGAGCGGCGTGGTGTGCGTGAATTCTCTCCAACTTATGGAGTACATTTTAAGCTTTTTGTCCGCAAATTATCCGTCTAAAGTGTATAGTATATCGTCTAGACGTTTCCATGTCAGATGTGTGCCGTTCTTTGGATGTTTGAGGGAGAAAACTCGAATTTTCCTGGCGCTGGCGGGCGGAGTTTGGATCAAGACTGGAAACGAAAAATTATGGCGGCTACCATGGCGGCGTGGCGTGGTGCTGAAAAAGACCCGTTCTTGCGAGGTAAGACAAGCTCCTTGAATGTACATGTTTGTACTTGCAACAAACCTGTAGCAACAGACCACATTATAATTCGTTATTTTAAACGTTATATTCTGTAGAAATTTGCGTTTTTTGGAACGATATGTCGCGCACAATTGTGGGCCATTTTGAGTATTTTTACTAATTTTAGTAGGGAGTTTTTTTTTCATGACTATCGTGGTTTGGGGGAACACTGAATATATTTCTTTCACTCTTTAGAGTGGCATTGAAAAAAGCAGAGAAAATTTCGCTGCTAAGACTGTTACAAACACGTTTTTTGTTGGAAATTTCCACAGTTTGGCCCAGTGAACACCTTTTGGAACGTACCGCACGTGTGCATAATTAAACCCACTCAACGTTCCCGCCAAAAATGTAGCGTAAACAAGACTTCCCAAAGCTAGAATTAACTTGGTGCTTTTATTATTTACTTCTGAGCACCCAAAATTAAATCTGTGCACAAGTGAAAATACACGTAGTTTAATTTCGGTTTTGTTGCTGGTTTATCCTTGCTTTTGAATCAGAGCTTCAGAGGTTGTCACATTGGTATTTTACTGGATTTTATACTTCAATACCAATGTAACAGTGGGGGGGGGTATAGTCTTATAGGTTTATAGGGGGTTTATTTTGTTATTCTCATGAGAATTGAATGTTTTCTCCTTTTTTATACATGTTTACTAACTATTTTATAATCTAAGTAAACTTATCGGTCACCTGTTGTCCAGGTTACTTGTGTCTAAACCTTTCTTGGGAATTGATCTTATTACTCTACGCCTAAGTGAAATAGGTAATAATTCCCAATACTTAACATAAAACTCAATGGTAATTCTGTCACATCCTGGCACCTTGTTTTTATTTTTGGATAGAGCCTGTAAATGCTTTTTTAGTTCAATCTCTTTGATTTCACCCTAGCAGCTAGTCTTGTGTTCATCATGTGATTTTTTAACGCCATCGTTATTTAAGAAATACGCTGCATCATTCATGTTGAGATCACAGTGTGTGGAGGTGCATAATTTTTCATAGTATTCAGCTTCTTTTAATAAAATTGTTTGAGGGTTTGTTGATCCGTCTTCCAAAGTTAGAGACGTAATAATTAGCTTCAGATTAGCTTCAATCTGTTTTTCAGGATTACACACAGTTACAGTACTTTTTCCATCAGGCACTTACATTGTCTTTGAGGCTTTGTCTTTGATTCTTGACACTTCTCATCTTTTCCTGCCTCTCCGTGGTCTTAAGTTCCTTTTCGCTGCCTGTAGGTAAGTTGGTATCTGTAGGGTACTTCTTGTTTGTTGCATTGAGTTTGTCAGTTCTTGGCCGGGTTCTGTAGGTCTGTGTCTGCTTTCAGGTGGTTCTTCTTCTTGTCCGCCTTCTTCTCTTACAAAGTTACAGGATCTGAAGCAGTTCCATTTGTAGACTCGTCCTGCAGCCATCTTCGAGGGCTCTCCCAGTGTTCGTACTGTTTGCTTTAGATGTCAGTTTGTTCCCAACAATATATAGTTCCTCTCTTACCTCCTTCCTTGACTCTTCATAGGGCAGGTACCAGGATGTTTCTCCTCAGCTCACGGACTTTTGCCGGCACGTCGTCGGTTGTGAAAATGCGCTTGTCCTTGATCTGTGGTTTATTTTTCCACACTCTGTCTCTGTCGGCTCTGCAGGTAAATCTGGCAATAACTGGCCGGGGTTTGCCATTACGAGGCTCCCCATTAGACCATGTACTGCACACATTTTCATCTCCTATGTGTTAATTATGTTCATCTCTTTACTTATAAAGTCCAATACTTTCCTGGTACAGTTTTCCCTTTCCGTTTCTTGGATCAGGTTCCACCTACGCCCATACACCTTAAGCTCAGTGACATCTTTAGCCAAGTTTTCCTGCTCTCTTTGCTGTGAGTCCAGTCTCCTTGTGATATCATCTACGTTTTCCTGCATAAACTTGAGTGATTTGATGATCTCCACATTGACATTGTTGGTTTTGGTGAGACTACTAGTACCCTCGACCTTCACACGTGATTCAAGCCTTAGTAGTTTTTCAAGTAGAGAGTCCCAGTCCTTTTTCAGAATTCTAACATATTCCATCGCCCTCTGTCATCACTTGCTTTTTATCCGCAATATTCCTCACTACTTCATGTACGTTTTGGCGACATTTTTTACTCAAAGGATTGTGGTGTTTTATCTTAACATTGTATGAAAGTTGATACGGACATGCACTTACTCATTTGGGTCGCCATTTTTTACTCAAAGGATTGTGGTGTTTTATCTTAACATCGTATGAAAGTTGATACGGACATGATGCACTTACTCATTTGGGTCGCCATCTTGGGTCTCGCACCACAGTTCTCTCAAAGGGGGGCCTAACATGGGTGACGGCGCATCTGTAAGATCTGTGGCAAGCCCTTTTACGGTGCTCCGTAGCATAAAAAAGGATTCTTCTTTTTGAACTCTAGACCAATTGGGGTAAAATCAGGGTTTTGATGTTGGGTCTTAAGTTGAATGTGGTTTATATAAAGTTGTATGTTGTGTGACATAATTTTTGCTATAGGCCAATTGCTTTCTCTACAATGACTTTTGTTTCTCCCGTTTTCAAGATGTGGAGCCGAAGCCTGGTCTGAGCGGAAGGAAGAACCAAAGTTTTATGGAC